AAGCTGACTCAGCATTCAGGCTCATCTTAATCCAGCCTGAGACAGCCAGGGAGGACACCAGTTGTGCTGACGGGCTTCTCTTGGTATGTATGCTTATCCAGTAGGATCTGGATTGAGGCCACCAAACTGCTATTCTTGGAGGACCTAACGCATAGCCGTTGGAAGGACGCTTTGAGCTTTCGTGATGATTGCAGTGGTAGGCGCATCCAAGCGGCATGGATGTGCCAGCAGTTCCAACCTATGACTCTTGTCTGTATATGCATGGTTTAATGCTAACGCTATCTCTCTGGTGCTTTTGTAGTGTTACTTGTACCTCTGCTACAGCTCTGCAAGGAAGATGAAGACGTTTGTACTCTTTTTCTCTGTTTGTTTGTGCAACATTTACTTGTATGGATTACGGAACCTCTGGCAAATAGCCTTCCACATAGGAGTGGCATCTCTTGCTTCGTATCAGATACTGACAAGGCAACTTATGGAGAAACAGCCCGACTGCGGCGTATGAAAAAGACCTCGGGTTTGCTGCTGTCTTTTTACAGCTTTTTTTGTATTCAACTGGCCAAAAATAGCTTGGAAGATTTTTAAAGATTTGTGACAATGGTTATTGCGAGTAGGATGTTTTGAAGCAACTTGAAATAAACTGGGACCCTGTAGTAGTGTCAGACATACGTTGAGGAATTTAGCTGTATTTAACACAGCGTGTGGTAACTGTGCATGGTAGATTTTGTCAGGTGTTGTCAGCGGATGGAGGTTCTCATTACCATAAACGGGCTCTTACTTCTTGACTAACACCATCTAGTCGATATTTTGCCATTTGTCTTGCTGGCTTTGTAACAATCTGGCATGCCGATGTCTTGCCCTGCCAATTCTTAGGAAAATAGTAAACTGTACAGCAAAGCAAAGATAAAATGGTGGGTAAAATGTTTGCCTATAGAATTTGTTAAGCATTCCGATTCTTAGTAAATGTAAGTGGAGGAGGAGTTTGCCATAATTAGATTAGCCCATTATCAGTGGTGAAAATTATTTTAGGAGAAGCTGCAGAATAACCTTTCTGGGTTTTGAGGGAAACCAAAAGGCTATGGCTCCTTTAAAAACCATAAAGGCTCTAAACGTCTTCTGGTGAAACGTCACATCTTTGTAGTTAGGTATGTACTCGTTGGTTAGTTGTAAATAAGCTTGGAGCAGCATAAAACAAACCAAGTGAATGTAAGTGACCTTTCAGCTCAAGTGGCCTTTATTTCCTTGGTTAAGGTCACTCTTACTGTGAGGGCAGTTCTATGTTTGCTTGGTCTGTACAGACAATAAATCTTCCAAGCCTATTTACGACAGCCACTAACTCCTTCACCTTTTGGGGAAAGAAAAAAAAAAACTGTAGCTGATGAGTAGAAAGCCATTTCCAGTAATGGAGAGCAAGAGCAGGTTCTCTTTTATTACATATAAAACCTTTAGCTAATGGTTTTGCAGTTCTTACACTAAGATGAATTTATGAGCGTGCACTTTTGAATATAGTACATAGGAGCTGAATTTCTTAACCTCTGCTGCACTGGGTTTTCTTGTATTTAATGTATTGAAGTGCGTATGGGCATTTTAGAATGTGTATGAATACTTTAGCTTGTGCTTAAAGAATGCCTAGCATTTTGATGCAGCTGTCCTTGAAGGGTTATGAAGATTCAAACTGAAAGGTTGTAGGGAACTGTAGGTGTATTACTGCGGAGGAATGGTCCTGGATTTTCTTTTTTTCCATAGGAAATTGTTTTCTGGTGGCCCTAGTCTGCTCTACGTAACGTCTCTTGCCAAAGATTTATTTTCCTTTCACGTAGTCTCTACCTCGGGTGGTTGCAAAGACGTTAACATGGTGCAGAATTGTCTTCCGGAGTTTGCAGAAATACTTAACAAAATTACTTCTTTGCATCTTGGTGAGTTGTTTCTGAAACCTCATGATGCAAACGTTTAGGAGTGTTATTAGGCTGCTAGACCAGAAACCTCTGGTACTGTATCTTGTAAGGCTAGAAGCTCTTCAATTGAAGCAATTCTGTGATGCAGCTGACTGCAGGAAAGGCATAGACCTGCAGCCCCTTACAACCTGAAAATAGTTTCTAGGACATCAAGAGACTTGGTGCCAGAACATTTTCTGGTGGTAAAATGTAGATGTTTCTCTTCCATCCCATGCTAGCCCGTTTACTGTAACAATAACGTAATGAGACCCTTTAAACTGTGAGGAATAGTCTAGTTGAAGTGATGGGAGAATGTTTTTGGCCAGCCAGTTTAGAAAAGAGGTAGAACTGTGTGCCATCACAGGAATACTTTCCTGTTGGAAGGAGGTAGATGAAGATTGTTTGTCATAGACTGTGGCAGAAAACTGGGGTTAAGTAGAGAAGTGGAGCCAGCACTAAACCACTATCCTTAGGACACACAGAAGTGGAGCGTTTAGTACTGAGAAGCTTTAAGTTTCCATGATCTTCAGCTCATGTTCTACTTGGTGAGGTACTCTTTCTGTGTGATTGGAGACTTCGGGAGACTAACCCATGAGGTTGCATTACAAGTTAAAAAAACCAAAAAAAAAACAAAACAAAAAAACCCTTAACAAAAAAAAAAAGCCCAAAAAAATCTTATACTAGAAACTAATGCTTCGATAAGGATCCTGGACCTAGTGACTGTGTTTTTTGTTAGCTGGGGACCCTAAGCTGGGTATCAGTCCACTGTGTTATGAAGGGGAGTCTCATCCCACAGGGAAAGGACGAGGTATTTTGTACTACAGATGAATAAAAGCTTATGAAAGGAACCTTAGTGATGTGTTCCAGCTCCCAATTCCTACCCCTTTAGGCTGCATCAGAGTCCAAAAGAGCTTTACTGATTCTCCGTAGACTTGAATAAAGCTATTCTGCTGTAGCTTAAGGCATGCAGAGCATTAGCAGCTGGAGCTTGACGCCAGTGAACCATTATCTTCTTTCTATTCTCATCCTTGTATTGACTTGACTGGAAGAAATTGTAACGTTCCTGATGCTTGCCCTAGCATTTGACTATTTGCTTTCTCGTAAAACAAATACATCCCTGTGCAGATGATGTTAGCAACAGTTCTGCAGTAAGAGAAATGGTGGTAGAACAAGGTGTTTAGATAGCTTTTGTAATTAACATATTTAGAATTGATAAAGATTAAATTCAGCTTTTGTTTAATATGTTCCTTTTCCTGAGACTGTTTCATTAAAACCAAACAAAAGGAGTTGGTACAATTCTACCTTCCATAATGTATTTTTTTTTTTTTTTTTTTAGCTTCATGGATTAGGTAGAGGATGTGACTAGATGTTTTCTACGAAATGAACCAAGCTGTGGTTTGCCGTTAGTCTTAATCCCTTTGCAACCTTTTTTCTGTAATATGTGTAAATCACATTAAGGAATCTACATAGAACAGTATATTTGCACTTTGTAGGTTTAGATTGTGGTTGAGGGACCAGGCAGAGCAAGCACTATCTCACTTTTTTTTTTTTTTTTAAATAACATTATTTAGAATGGCTTCTGTACCTGTGTGGTATTTGTACAGTTAAACTTTTTTTTTTTGGTGAAACATCAAGAGGAGTAGAATGGTTTACACTGATCTCAGAGCTCTGAGATTTAATAAAAAGAATGACTTGCAATTTGAGTACATGAAATCTGACTCATAATGTGGGATTATGCCTGTATTGAATCAAATCCCCAAACAGGAATCCATCCTTTTTGTTTGACTTTAAACTGTTTAATGTACTTTGACTTGTGTCTCCTTAATTCTGTCAGTTTTCAAGATAAGTCCCTTGGAAATTCTGTTCTTCACCCAGCAGTTCATCACAAGGAAATTGGCAAAGAATAAACTCCCTTAATTTAAAGATTTGAAGTGCTAAGTCAGTTTATGAAAATAGCTATTTTCTGTGTTAGTCTGTGGTTTTTTTGTTTGTTCTGTTTTTTTTTTTTTCTCTCCTACTCCCAAAGACCTGTTAAGTGTTTGGAAGGTGGGTTGGTACCTTTTTAGATATTTTTGCACTATATTAATAACTGAACCTGTGTAAATGTGTATAAATCACTTTGCATGCCTATGTATATATGTACATATCTAATAAATGGCTTTTTTGTAATGATTGTCTCCGTTTATAGTTTTGGGAGTAATTAAGCATACCGGAAAGAAGGTATTTCTGCCGTTTCATTTTCAAATGTATTTTTAATACTTTATGTGCCACTGTTGAAAATATTTTAAAAGTAAGCTCAACTGTTCTCTTTAACAAATAGCTTTAAAATCAGGGTAACTTCAAATGTTGTCATAGATTGTATGCAGTCCCTTTCCACAGAGACGTGTCTGTGTGTACTCGCGATGGCCTTCTCTGAGATCCCATGTGCACTGATATCTTATCAGCCTGAGCTCACCCTACTGCTTTCTGTTTAGGGGGGATTTAGGTAGGATTTCTGCATAGCCATCTACACACTGAAGAGTGACTGTTACCTCCGTTGAACTGCGTATATATGCACTTGCTTGTCCAAGCCATGAAGCAACAGATTGCAGTAGGCTGTGATACAGTCCCTTTGTAGTTTTAACAGTCTTGCTGTTTTGCTTTCAGAGAGCATAATGCAGAGGCTTTTCCTGGAAAATTTGCATTTTGGAGCATAATAGTATTTGAAGTAAGATGTAACTCAGTCCTGTAGATCCTTTTGCAGCTACTTGGCAGGAAGTAATGGAGATTTTGCATACTGCTGTTAGATTTTTAGCCTGGTCTGTGAATGGAACTAAGCCTATGTAATTGTCCTGCCAGTCAGTCCCTACTAAGAGCTTGTGAACATTTTTTTTTAAAACCGTTTCAAATGTATTTAATAAAAGCATTGAAGACACTGTATTTCATCAGGCTGTGCAGAAATGAATGACTGGATGCAAGAGAAAACTCCTCTTTCGTACTGCATCTCTCAATGTGACCTCTTCACATATCAGAGAATGTACTTCACGAGAGTGAT